AGGTAATTTTGTCTATTTTTCAAAACTGTATATAATTTTTGAAAATTAAAAAATTCGCGGAATACTTTTTTTAAAAAAAATTAAAAAATGTTTTTTATTCAGTTTTTGCGAAGATACAAATTTTTCAAATTGCAATAAAAATTTTATTTATGAATATTTTTTGATGAAATTTTACAGTTAGGTAGATTTTTTTACTCAAAATCCAAAATTAAATAAAAATTTCGAATTTTCTTATTAGAAATCCCGGAATTCCCAAAAAAGTTTTAAAAAATCCCAAAAATGGGATTTTTTGGTTTTTTGCCTATTATATCCATACCAGGGGCGGGGTTATCGAAACCCGTTACAAAATGATTAAGAACTTATTGGGTCATATAAAACAGATCACTATAATTTGATATCGACTATGCGATTTGAGAATTTTTGCTCAAAATTTAATTTTCCATAAAAAATAGGGTTTTTTTGGATGGACCTGGTCGCCTCGGTATCAAAAATTTTTAGGTTTTGTTTCATTTATCGTATTTTATGTAAAGTCAGCTTTCCAAAAAGTATAAATTCTATATACATCTTCTTAGAAACTTTTTAGATAACTTAAAAAGAAAAAGATACTTTTTTCCCAAAAAAATGACAAAAAATCGCCTTTTTTTAATTTTTTAAATTTAAATGCCTATAACTTTGGACTCAGTCATGATTTTTACATAATTCTTTCACTGCTTGGTATATAAACTTGTTGTTAAGCAAATAAAAAAAAAATGGCGAAAATCGGAAATATTTGGACCTGCTATTATCAAAAAAACTAAAGTAAGGACGGTAAAAATTTTAAAATTTTAATATTCAAATGCGAATATCTCCTAAACTATAAGAGATAATTTACTGCTACGACGACATTTTTTATAGTGCTCAATGAGGAGATTCTATATACGAAATTTTTTTTAAATCGGAACTCAAATGAAGAAATAGGATCGTTTTAAAAATTTAACATAGCCGAGGTGTCCTCATTTGAGGACCCCCCGCCGGGCCCCTGGTTGGCCTATAAGGTCCAAATTCAAAACCTAAACTCGACAACACCTCCTCTTTGTGCATACCAAATTTCATTAAAATCGGATTAACCGTTTAGAAGTTACCGAATTATTTCCCTCTTTTTTTTTTCCTATACCACTGTGCGTTGTCCACCTTTTACTACTGTTGATAGCTGAAATTTTAAATAATAACTGAAATTTAATTTGAAATTCAAAAAGTATTTAACTAATTTAAAAATTTATAATTTAAAAAATTCTTAATTTAAACCTGATGCTGTCGGTTACATATGAATTTAACCTCTAATCATATAATTTGTTACATTCGCTATTTGGCTGTCATATAAAATGACAATTTAAATTTAATTGTTTAAAATTTGCCGTATAGATTTCAACCAATAATCGATACATGTGTGAGTGTGTGTATGTGTGTTGTAAATAAATATGAATACACATTTACCACATACAAATGAATATAAACATTTTGAAAATAAGCTTTACAAGTTAAACATAATTTTGCAAATATGTTGCTTTTTTTACAGTGAGCGTTAAAAGTGAGTTAACAGCTGAAGTTGATTATGTTAAATTTCTAGAAAACATAAATTTGAGTTAAAAAATCTAAAGGCTTCAGTAATATTATATAAGTTTTCATACTATTTGTATAATATTTTTAGGTTTTGTTTAGTGTTTATTAACTTTTGAGGCTCATGGTTTATTGGTGTTTATGCGATTGTTGCAAATTTTTATTCATTATTGAGTTGACTCAAGGACATAATTGGCTTTTAGCCAGGCACCTGTATCATTAACATGTTACATTTTAGAGCAACATTAATTAAACTTTATATTGCAAACGCAAACAACAATGAAATTATAAATCATATAGAGATATTATATCAAAAAGCTAAAATTGATAGAAATATCAATGCAGAATAATAAATAATAAAAACAAATCCCAGCTGGAATTAACAGGGCCTTGATTAAGTAAAATTTAGTTTATAAATACAGAATGTCTAATATGTTTGCCAAAGATCAAGATTGGATCAAGATCAGCAGGTTGTGTGAAGCTGTGATAATGTAGCAACAGATTTGTCTGCATTATGATCAGTTGACCTTCTACTGATCGTGCAATTTTCTATACAAAAAATACTGATCCTACAAATTTTGATCGCAAAATCTATTCTTCTATAGAAAAATCTACCAATTGCATAATTTTCTTTATGAAAAGAATCGATCGTAAAATTTTCTCTAGAAACTGATCGCACAATTGATGATCAGATAGTCTATATTATAATTAAAATATAAATATGCCTTTAGCAAATACATTTTTTTAAACCAGCCCCTGTATATTTACTACATTCTGCTACTTAACTATGCATGTATGCTGTCAAGTTATTAAAACACATTATTGACATGATCTAAAATTAACAATTTATGTTTATGCATGTTTTTATATGTTATTACTATTTGTATTTTAAACAAGTACATTTTAAAAATGTTGTTAAATATACAACCATAAAAACATAAAATAAATATTTCATCTATTTACTGGCAATTCGAAAAATTATTGAGTCCAAGCATAATGTCAATATTGATTTATTATTTTAACAGGCAGCAACAGCGGTGACATAAAATAGTTTGATATTTGCTTAAAAATACAAAATGTATTTCAGCAAAAGTACATAAACTATTAATCAATATGCAGAATATTCTAATAAATATGCATAATTTTTTTAGTTGGGTAGTTTCGAGTAGTAAGATTTGAATAATCTTGAATATCTGAATTTTTAGTGAGAGATTCATAAAAAATGCTTTAAAAGTAGATTGTCCAGACAACCATCTCTAACAAATCTTATTTAACGCTCAATTTTCTATAGAAAATATACTGATCGTGTAGTTTTGTATTAACTGATCGTAAAAAAATATAAATATAAATCTACTGGTCGTTCGTGATCGTGAAATTTTCTAAAAAAAATCTACTGATCGTTAAATTTTCTATAAAGAAACCTATTGATCATTAAATTTTCTATAGAAAATCATACTAATCGTGAAATTTTCTATAGAAAATCATACTGATTGTTAAATTTTCTACAGAAAATCATACTGATCGTGAAATTTTCTATAGAAAATCACACTGATCGTGAAATTTTCTATAGAAAATCATACTGAGCATGAAATTTTGTGTAGAAGATCGTGCTGATCGTGAAATTTTCTATAGAAAATCTACTGATAGTGAAATTTTCTATAGAAAATCTACTGATCGTGAAATTTTCTATAGAAAATCATACTGACCATGAAATTTTCTGTAGAAGATCATACTGATCGTGAAATTTTCTGTAGAAAATGATACTGATCATGAAATTTTCTCTCGAAACTCATACTGATCGTGAAATTTTCTGTAGAAGATCATACTGATAGTGAAATTTTCTATAGAGAATCTACTGATCGTGAAATTTTCTATAGAAAATCTACTGATCGTGAAATTTTCTATAGAAAATCTACTGATCGTGAAATTTTCTCTAGAAAATCATACTGTTCGTGAAATTTTCTCTAGAAAATCATACTGTTCGTGAAATTTTCTATAGAAAATCTACTGATAGTGAAATTTTCTATAGAAAATCTACTGATCGTGAAATTTTCTATAGAAAATCATACTGACCATGAAATTTTCTGTAGAAGAAAAGAAAGAAACCTATTGATCATTAAATTTTCTATAGAAAATCATACTAATCGTGAAATTTTCTATAGAAAATCATACTGATTGTTAAATTTTCTACAGAAAATCATACTGATCGTGAAATTTTCTATAGAAAATCACACTGATCGTGAAATTTTCTATAGAAAATCATACTGACCATGAAATTTTCTGTAGAAGATCATACTGATCGTGAAATTTTCTATAGAAAATGATACTGATCATGAAATTTTCTCTCGAAAATCATACTGATCGTGAAATTTTTCTCTAGAAAATCATACTGAACGTGAAATTTTCTATAGAAAATCATACTGATCGTGAAATATTCTATAGAAAATCATACTGATCGTGAAATTTTCTATAGAAAATCTACTGACAGTGAAATTTTCTATAGAAAACCATACTGATCGTGATATTTTCTATAGAAAATCATACTGATCTTGAAAATTTCTCTAGAAAATCATACTGATCGTGAAATTTTCTATAGAAAATCATACTGTTCGTGATATTTTCTATAGAAAATCATGCTGATCGTGAAATTTTCTATAGAAAATCATACTGATCGTGAAATTTTCTATAGAAAATCATACTGATTGTGAAATTTTCTATAGAAAATTTACTGATCGTGAAATTTTCTATGGAAAATCATACTGATCGTGAAATTTTCTATAGAAAATCTACAGATCGTTAAATTTTCTTTAGAAAATTGACTGATTGTGAAATTTTCTTTAGAAAATATACTGATTGTGAAATTTTCTATAGAAAATCTACTGATCGTTAAATTTATTAAATTTTATGAAAATCTTATTTTTTTTTTTTACAAAAATTAAAATTTTTGAGAAAAATGTATTTTTTAATAAAAATTTATTAACTATTTTCCTCTAAACAATAATACCACACCGCCTTAATTCCTTACAAATTCTTAACTGACATTTACAGATAATTTTTGGTATTAATATGTTATTTTAATGTAAATTTTGTGGTTAGAAATTGTAATGAACTACGTGCAGTAATTAACTGGAATTGAAAAATACAAAAAAAAACTTACAATAATGTAAAAGAAGCAAAAAAAAAAAAGAACTTAATTAGCAGATAATTTATATAACTATTAAACGCATTAAATAATAATTCTTTAAAGCTAAAAGAGAGAAACACTTTAAAAAAGGCAATGAAACTAAAAGAGGTCAAATGTTATTAAAACGCTTAATAATAGTTAAATATAAATTGTTTGAAATAAATATAAAATCTTGGGAGTATTTTTTCAAAGGAAAAAAATTTTAGAAATAAAAACTTACTTGATGTAGATGTTAGAATTGCGAACAAAAAGAAGGCTGGAAAATCTGTAAAGAGAAGACAAGATTAAAATAATTGATTAGAGGTTTTTAAATAAATTTATTTTAAAGAGATTTTATTAAAATGATAAAAATTATAGAAGTTGTAGTCGGCTGGCAAATACTGTATTAAACTGAGACATTTCATTGATTACAAATCATGACTTCTATAAGCGAGAGAATAAGCGCTAAAGCAAATAGAGAGCAAATGTTTCCCAGCACTCTCTTTAAATGTCCGTCCATCTTTTACAAGACGGACGGACAATGTTAAATTGACTTAAATCGAAAACAATTCTCAATCGATTGTTCTTATTGATCACCTCAAACGCTTATAGTGATGTGGAGTATAAAATCTTAATCCCAGTTTCGGATTAGTTCTTTCGTGTTACAAATTGTTCCACTTCTTTAATATGTATGACTATATTTTATCTCCAAGCTAAAATTCTAAAATTAAATAGACCTTAAAATAGTATTTTTACATGAATTGTATGTTTGTAAGTTGCAAAAAAAAACAAACCAACAAGTATTTTAAATGAGTACATTTTGTTTAAACGTTCGCTAAAAAAGTGCCTAGTGCGCTGCGCTGTCTTATTTATTGTTAGACATAACTGTCAATATAATGAACTGTACCAAAAAATTATACATACGAACAAAAATGACTTTACCATAGCAAAAAAATAAATTCGATATTGTTTATGTTTTTTTTTCACAATTTTTTTTTTTTTGCCAGCTCAAGTTTAGACAACAGCCACACCTGTTTAACGAATTGTAAAACGTTTTTGTTGCTGTTGTAGTTGTTGTCGTAGTCTTGTCTTCTTTTAAACAACTATTTAGAATACGGTACTTAAGAAAAAAATATTATAACTACAGGCCGCTGGAACAGTGGAATGTTGTGGGAAAATGCTTTCTTCTTGAATGGATAAGTTTCTATGGAAAATCTACTAATCGTGACATTTTCTATAGAAAATCATACTGCTCGTGAAATTTACTAAGGAAAATCTAGTGATCATGAAATTTTCTATAGAAAATCTACTGATCGTGAAATTTTCTATAAAAAAATTTAGTGATCGTTAAAATTTCTATAGAAAATCTACTTATCGTGAAATTTTTTATAGAACATCATACTGATCGTGAAATTTTCTATAGAATATCATACTGATTGTGAAATTTTCTATAGAAAATCTTCTGATCGTGAAATTTTTTATAGAAAATCATACTGCTCGTGAAATTTTCTATAGAAAATCATACTGATTGTGAAAACTTCTATAAAAAATCCACTGATCGTGAAATATTCTATGGAAAATCATACTGATAGTGTAATTTTCTATGGAAAATCATACTGATCGTGAAATTTTCTATGGGAAATCGTATTGATCGTGAAATTTTCTATAGGAAATCATACTGATCGTGAAATATTCTATAGAAAATCAATTTAATTTTCTTTAGAAAATCTACTGATCTTGAAAATTTCTATAGAAAATCTACGGATCGTAAAATTTACTAAATAAAATCTAGCGATCATGAAATTTTCTATAGAAAATCGCACTGATCCTGAAATTTTCTATAAAAAAACATACTGATAGTGAAATTTTGTATAGAAAATAAACTGATCGTGAAGTTTTCTACAAAAAATCGTGCTGATCGTGAAATTGTCTGTAGAAAATCTATTGACCATGAAATTTTCCATAGAAACTCTACTGATCGCGAAATTTTCTTTAGGAAATCATACTGATCGTGAAAGTTTCTATAGGAAATCATACTGATCGTATAGAAAATTATATTGATCTTGAAAATTTTTGTAGCAAATTATACTGATAGTGAAATTTTCTATAATAAATCATAATGATCGTGAAATTTTCTATAGAAAATCAAACAGATCTTTAAATTTTCTACAGAGGTCATACCATTCGTGAAATTTCCTATAGAAAATCAACTGATCGTGAAATTTTCTATAGAAAATCATATTGATCGTGAAATTTTCTATAGAAAATCACTCTGATCGTGAAATTTTCTATAGAAAATCTACTGATCGGGAATTTTTTCATAGAAAATCTACTGATCGCTTAACCTTCTATAGGAAATCATACTGATCGTGAAATTTTCTATAGAAAATCGTATTGATCGTGAAATTTTCTATGAAAAATCACTCTGATCGTGAAATTTTCTATGGAAAATGATCGTGAAGTTTTCTATAGAAAACCATACTGATCATGAAATTTTCTATAAAATATCGTACTGATCGTGAAATATTCTATAGGAAATAATAATGATCGCGACATTTTCTATAGAAAATCATATTGATTGTGAAATTTTCTATAAACAACCAGTCTGATCGTGAAATTTTCTTTAGAAAATCTACTGATCTTGAAAATTTCTATAGAAAATCTACTGATCGTGAAATTGACTAAATAAAATCTATTGATCATAAAATTTTGTATAGAAAATCGCACTGATCATGGAATTTTCTATAAGAAAACATACTGATCGTGAAGTTCTCTATAGAAAATCAAACTGATCTTTAAATTTTCTACAGAAGTCATACTGATCGTGAAATTTGCTATAGAAAATTATACTGATCTTGAAAATTATAGAGTGAAAATGTCTATATATAATCTTATCATAGAGAAATTTTCTATAAAAAATCTACTGATCGTGAAATATTTTATGGAAAATCTACTGATCGTACAATTTTCAATGAAAAATTTATAATATTTTCATAGAGAAATTTTATATAAAAAATCTAATGATTGTGAAATATTTTATAGAAAATCTACTGATCGTACAATTTTCAATAAAAAATTTATTGATCGTACAATTTTCGATACAAAAATCTGTTGAATGACTATATGACATAAAAAATCTCATGATCGTGAAATTTTCTATAGAAAATCTATTGATTGTGCATAGTATGATAGAGAATATATTTATCCTATAATTTTCTAAAGAAAAAATGTTGTTCGTATAATTTTTTATACAAAATATGATTGCAAAATTTTCTATAGAAAAAGAATTTTTTACATATTTACTTAATTTTTATTTAGCATTTATAAATTTGTTTAATTTTATAGATTTCGTTGCACTGTGCGGTGTGAATAAAATATTCTTACAATAATTGGTATTATTGTACTTTAAAGATAAAAATCTGTTTGCGGTCTATTTTATTTTTTATAATAATTTAAAGAAAAATAAAAATGTAAATTAATTTTTTTTTCATAATAATTTTGAAAGCATAATAATATTTACATAAATTTGAAATTAAGAAAATAATGAGGTAACGTTTTAAAATTTAAGAATTTGAAAAAATTTATCGAATTAAAAAAATAAAATGAAATGATTTAAAATGTAGAAAATTTTTGTATAAAGAAAAATTATGAGTTTTGATTCCCAAGATATTTTTATAACGAACCTTAAAGTATCCATAAGTAGATTTTGAATCTTCAAGATCATTGTGAGGGGTCTTACATCTAGGCTTAATCGCTTATAGTTTTTATAACATTTTTTCCCAGGCGTGCCTTAACTGCCCCATTCTTTTTTTTTAGTCTAAGCGACAACAAATGGTTTCTAGTTACAAATTCGAGTTGAATTTCTGTGTTTTATTCAAATGTTTGTCTACGAAAATAAAAAAAGCTTTATGCTCATGTCGATTTTTGCATTTCCCCCCTTCACTCGCGACAAACTATTTCAAATGGAAAACAAGACAACGAAAACAAATTCTGTTTCTTTTTTTTTAAAGAATATTTTACAATTTTAAACCCGTTACACTTGAAAAAATTGTACAATGTTGAGTCAAGTGTTTAAAATTTATAAGAAGACAAATACAACAAAAACAACAGATTTCTTAGTTATATACCATTTACTATATTCTTTAGATTTTTTTCTAAAATTTTGACACCTGAAGCGCAACGAGCAGAACATTACGACACCTCAACTGCCTACAACAATGACGATAATGATGTCGACGATCGTCATTATCAACATCACAATAATAATACTTAATAATGAGAATGATGTTTCAGTTGATAATATTTAGTTATAAAGATGTGGTTGGCTAGTGGCTGTAAGTTGTTGTTTAAAGATTGTTTTTGTATCTAAAGACATTATAGATAGAAATACTATAGTATACATTCACCGTTAAAAAATGCATAATAGAAATAATGTATATAAGGAACAGCAACAACAAAAACAAAAACAGTTGTAATCATGGTATAAGTATTAACAATTTATTTTGCCACATTGCCACAAGCAGTTGCATTAAACAGCTTGTAAAATGCGCGGTATCTTTGAGGTTCTGAGGTTTAATTTAAGTAAAATATGTTCTACAACAACAACAACATAATGTGGTCAAATACTTACTATACACTTGCAATTTGTATTTTAGCTGTAGTCGTCATATTGGCTTTTGAATATTTGTGATTAAAGAACAACAAAAAAAAAATATGATATTAAATATACAAGGTATTCTGAATGAATTTTTATTGCCAGTAACTAGGGGTCAAGTTGTGGTTGGTGGGAGGGGGAATAGAGAAAAAAATGTTTTTCAAAATTAATGTAAATTATTTTCAATTTTAACTATGATAAAGTTTTATAAAATAATTTTAGTTAATAAATAAAAATCAAAGTCTAGTCTATAGTCTAGTCTATAGTCTAGTCTATAGTCTAGTCTATAGTCTAGTCTATAGTCTAGTCTATAATCTAGTCTATAGTCTAGTCAATAGTCTAGTCTATAATCTAGTCTATAGTCTTGTCTATTATCTAGTCTATCATCTAATCTATAATCTAGTCTATAGTCTAGTCTATAGTGTAGTCTATAGTCTAGTCTATAGTATAGTCTATAGTCTAGTCTATAGTCTAGTCTATAGTCTAGTCTATAGTCTAGTCTATAGTCTAGTCTATAGTCTAGTTTATAGTCTAATCTATAGTCTAGTCTATATTCTAGTCTATAGTCCAGTCTATAGTCTAGTCTATAGTCTAGTCTATAGTCTAGTCCATAGTCTAGTCTATAGTCTAGT